TGGCCATAGTAGGTAAAATGGCGCCAAGCTCCGACCACTTTAACCTCCCATTCGACTATGCGCAGTTGCGACTCCGCCTGCTATCTGCGCGCGCTGCCCGACCAATACTTACATTTCCATCTCGAATTTCCATCTTCGACGTATGCTAAACATTTCAGATTTTCTATTCTTTTTTTATCTTATGATTTATGATATTTATATTATTCAATTCATATCAAATGATTAACTTTATGTTAAATCCAATAGAACAAATCGAATACTCGAGTATTTTAATAGCAACGCCTAAGAAAATATGTCTGTTATTTGAAAAGTATCTTTAATATTAAATAGTTATATTGATTTTTCGAATCTATTTTATTAGAGTAATAAACAAAATATAAGTTTTACTATAGATATAATATAATTGTTTAATATTTGATGATTTTACTTTATACATAGAATTGGTGTAGACATCGATTTTTTATCCGTACATTGCAATCTACTTTCGAATACGCAATATATTTTCGCAATATATTCCACATTCTTTAATAACATTTTTTATTTATAACCATGTAATTATAGGATTAACATTTCTTCTTTTTATCGTGAAAATGTTTCGTATGCCGCATATTGATAAATATCAAGAAACGCTTTCAAATATAAGTAAAAAATATAATTAGATTTCTTTTCATCTATAAGATACTTTTTTATGGATATAAAGAGGAACAAAGGAAATAGAAATAGAAGATAGGCATAAATAAACACAATAGACAAATTATTATATAAAATTAATTATTTATTGGATATGGATACATTCTCATATTAAAGTTGAAATTATTTGGAAATAGTTTATAATGGATAATTCAATAGAACGTCTTGTCTGGCTAATTCAAGTAACATAGGATCATCGAAGAATTTATTGATAGATACATCTTCGGAAAGTCCTTTCCGTCTTCTTGTCTTCAACATAAATTCTCTAGCTAAATGTGTAGCTGGTTGTGGCTCGAGTGGTCGAATGGTAATACTTTTGTCTAATGGATCACCAGGTACGATTTGCCAATGATGAAATACGGACAGGCAGAATGCCTGGCCTTGCGTGTGAGTTCGTAAATCGGTCTCGAATCCGAAACTATCGATTGCTGGAATGAAGGCTTTGATAGTATATAAGGGACTTCCAGGAACAGGAGCGTCTTGAGTCACGTGACCTCTTCTCTTAGCTAGTACAGTATAAACTGCCGATACGCAATCCGCAGGCGCTTGAACTTCGACGAATAAATATGGCTCCATCAACCTGGGCGTTGCCATGAGGAAAGCAGAGTACGCTACTCTTCTGGCGGTTGGAATTATTTGACCACCTGTAAAAAAAAAAAAATTAATTTTGTTCGTAAAATAAAAGAAAGAAAGAAAAAAAAAACAATAGTATTTAGATACCTCCTCGATGAAGAGGTTCTTGGGCAATTACGGCATCCAAAATTTTAAACTTCACGTTTCGAATTGGTTCCTCGCAGAGAGGGCCTTCTCGAGTTCCCCACTGAAAACCTTGAATAATAGCATCACGAGCACTATTCAATAACGTTTTGTCTACTTCGGATGGCAAAGTATCATCAACTAAAATATTAGGTCCCGTAGCGTCTGGACCGAATGCCCATATGCTTCGCGCAGCTAGCAAATCCCAATCATATTTCGTTTGAAAGAATTCTCCTAATCGTTTTCTGTAAGAATAGACACATTTTGTTTCGTAAATTATGAGATATAAGTTTTTTACACTTACTTGTTCCATGTGATTTTAACATGCTCCGCCTCGATATCCTCCGCAAGGCCTCTCTCGAGTGGTTCGGCTATCATCGTCAATTTATTCCGTTTATTAGGTGTTTCAGCGAAACACTTAAGAGAACTCGTTTCTACCACTGTCTCAGCGAAAGCAACAACAGGATCTGCGACTTTTATATCGATCTCCGAATACATACGTCGCAAGTCGTGCATTGCGCAATCTAAATATAATTCACCAGTGCCTAAGACGACGTGTTCGCCGCTTTCTTCGACTCTGGTACCCAACAAAGGATAACTTTTATTCACTTTTCTGAGACCATCTAACATTTTTGGCAATTCTGAGGGATTGACAGGTTCGACCGCAATTTTAATTACGCTCTGTGTATTGAATTTTAGCGGGCGGAAAATATGTAAATCGTCTGAATTTGTGAGATCAGTAATTGTACTTGTTTTTACGATTGGCCTGTCTATACCCTCGATAAGAACCCAATTGCCTGCGGGAACTCTGTTTAATTCTATTGAATAGCGTGCCTCGCTAATCCACAATCTTCCCACGGTCAGAACTCGAGAATCTTCTTCATCAGTACGCGAATATGCTTCGCCTAATACACGAACGCGTTGTCCCGCCTCGAGTGTACCTGACATTACTCTTCCAAGGACAACAAATAACGTACAATCTTCGGTAGGATACATTTTTGTACTATGAATCATTAATCTTCCCTGTAAATATGATTTTTGTGTTAGATTCTATCTGGAAGAGACGTACATACAAATATTTCGTATATACTAACATTAGGATCGCAATTAATCATATTCTGCGCGAGAGGTGAATCCATAGGGCCTGTGTATACGTGTTGAACTTTAACCGGTGCATGTGATTGAGGACTGGGAACGTGGGCTACACACATATCGACTAATCCGCACATATCTCCTAAAAAACGTGTGCATACCAACCTCAAGAGAGGCCTAATATTCATTTTCATTTCTTCCGATGTTAATCTTATTCCTAATTCATCTAGTACTGTGAAATTAAATTAGAAATTATGTTACGATACGGAAAACTCAATAACCTAACCTATAAAAGTTTCTTTATAACTAACCATCAGGTAAAGTTGTGTCAACATCGCCAACAACCTGGGCGAAAATTTTGTACAATGGTTCAAGAATAAATTCGATAAAGCTGCGTTGTGCGGTATTATGCGGTGGTTTTTTTGTAAATTTTCGCGTTTTCGAGTTAAAATATATATCTCCCCATAACCGTTTCGCAAATTCATTAGCATTAAGAGTGGGATGAGTTCTAGCATAAAGTGCTGCGAATGATTTCAGAGTGAAACAAACATTATACTCTGAACTCGCAAAACATACGTTTCCGATTGCAGGAGATACAAAAGATGGATTTTCAGAATCCGAATATAGCGCTATGAGTCCATTAATTTCTTCGATGATGTGTCTTAATTTATAATACGCGTCTAATGGAGGTAATTTTAATTCTAGAATAAGTCGATCTATCTTATTTATGCAAACTGTTAACGCAAGTTTTTCCTGAAGCGCGTGTTTTAATAAACGTTCTGTGTTTAACATAACCCCTTCAGCAGCATCGACGATCAATATCGCACCATCGGATAAACGTATTGCTGCTGTTGCCTCATCAGAAAAATTTACGTGACCAGGAGTATCAAATATATTTAAAAGATAAGATTTTGATTTCACATCTTGCAGCAATAAAGTTACAGGTGTTGCTTTCGTTGATACTCCTCGCTGCTGTTCCGTGAATAATGTATCTGTATATCTAAAAAAATATAAATATATATATATTTTCTAATTATAAATATTAATTGCAATTATTCATGTACATTTATTGTACCTTAAAGGTTTTTCATCTGTAACACTGTGTAGATAGGGATGAGTCTGTCTCACTAGACAATCAACTAAAGTAGTTTTGCCATGATGTAGATGACCAAGTAAAACAACATTACGTATGAGATGGGGTGCATCCATCATATCTGCTAAAAATTCTATGCTATATGTTGTTTCTGGAAGTTGTTGTTGTTTTATTTGAAACTTTGGTTTTCTTGTTGGTGCTATTAATGGTTTATCTAATGGTTGTGCATCTTCTTCTTGTACCAATGTTTCTACCTATAATATATTAATAATATATTAAATATGTATTAATTTTTGAGGCTAACAATAAAAATACAATTATTAAATTTACCTCTGGCCCATAAACTTCTAAAGCACTTGGATAGTATCTTTTATCTTCGTGTAATACAACTGCCATAGAGTTGCCTTGATCTGATTGCTCTCTAGTTTCATCTTTGTCTTCTTCCATTTCTTCATCTGATCGTTCTCTATCTTCTGCTTCATCTCCAGCATTTCCATATTCATTTTCATCTTCACTATCAGAAGCCAAATCAGGACCAATATAATTTCCAAATTCATCATATAAATCAGCATCCATAGTAATATCTTTTTAGTTTATGACTATAAAAAGTATATAACAACTAACTTTAGTTAATTTCTATTATTTATATTTTCTATAGTATTTATATTTTGTCTTATTTTTTATTAAAAAGATGAAGATTATTTATGGTTGTTTACATGCAATTAAGGTTATGAACATAACCTCCAAATTAATAAGCGATCGAAATATAAAAATTTAAAAAGACAAAAATCATCAATGAAGTGTATTGAATTTAATTTGTTGTTATAAATGTTTAGAAATGATAGATATTATTATTTATACTTACAAAAATCAATATTATTTAATTAATTAATACAAAAACGTTTAATGAATGTTGAAATTATTGTCATGAAATAAAATACATGTGAATTTATATAAAAAGTTTTAATTATTAATTTAACGATATAGATACAAAAGTTTATTAATTACTTTACATAAATTACACGTGTATTATTTATATTTTATATATATATATATATTAAATATATATATACATATATATATATATATATACATTTAAACTATAGAATGAAGTAGAATGCAAGAAAATATAGTAGTTTGTCAATATAGTGAAATTATTTTTATATAATATATATATATTTAAAATATGAATATATATAATAGATAATATAATAGATAATATAATATATAAATATCTTTATTAAATTATATTATTAAGTGATTTTTTAAAATATTTGGAAATAACAATATTTTTTTATTTAAAATTACATTTCTATTTATATATTATACTAGTTTAAAAATTGTTGGCATCCCTGTAATGCATATAATAATTGCAAGATATGCCGCTAGAGTACCCCTTTGCGCGCATGGTCGTAAAAGTATACAAGACCTATTGTATACGACACTACGTTGAAAGCTTACACAAACATACTTTTCACATAGATACGAATGTTGCGCACAGTGGCCCAGACTGACAGCTGGAAGAACGTGAAACAGGAGTGGCAGATCATGTAAGGCGAGTATCATTTATTTTATATAATAATATTATTTCGAGACAATCCAACTATTGTTGTATAGCCTGCCAATCCCTAGTTAGATGTTGGGAACTTCTCGTCTAATTTTATCTTATTAAGTATAATTGACACACCCGTTACATTTCGTTGTTGTAAAATAGCTTTTTAGTTTTCGTATTCGTGTAAACAGAACTATCACGTTAGAATCTATCGAGTATTAAGTGAATAATACCTTGATAATTTCATTGATCTAATCTAAGTTAACCCTTTCAGGGGCACTTAGTCATAGACTGAAACTTGATAATTCACGAGCAGACGCGCTACTAAGAATACATTAGAAGAGTTGACAGGATAGGCAGAAGAAAGCAGAGCAGTGGGGGAGGGGGTGGGAGAACAAGAGGCGGTATGACACGACCTCCCAATAATGACAACCTTATGACCTTCAAATTGGTCGTGGTTGGAGATGGAGGTGTTGGAAAAAGTGCACTCACTATACAATTCTTTCAAAAATTATTTGTTACTGACTATGATCCTACCATTGAGGATAGTTATATTCAACATACAGAGGTAGATAAACAATGGTGCATCTTAGATGGTAAGTCACATCATTAATAAAAACATTTACTTGTTTTATTGCATTTAATTCTACTATCCGCTAGTTTTGGATTATGCTTAGTGCATGGTATTAGATTTATAATACATTCTTATGTGTACAAAGGTTTATTTGTACTTAACAGTGTTAGATACAGCTGGTCAAGAAGAATTCAGTGCCATGCGTGAACAATATATGCGCAAGGGTGATGGGTTTCTATTAGTATACTCTGTGACTGATAAACAATCTTATGAAAATATCATGAATTTTTATACCCAAATACTTAGGGTAAAAGATAGAGATGTATATCCTATGCTTCTGGTAGCCAATAAAGTTGATTTGGTACATTTGAGAAAAGTTACAGAGGAACAGGGAAGGGAGTTGGCTCACCGGTTGGGTATACCTTATATTGAAACTTCTGCCAAAGACCCGCCATTAAATGTAGATGCTGCATTCCATGAGGTAGGGAATAAAAAATTAAAAAAAGAGTAATATATATATATAGATAAAAATAATTAAGGGATTTGAATAATTTTGCTCTAGGTCGTTCGTATTATCAGAAATCAACCTCCAGCCGAGTTGGAAAAAAATCGGAGAAAACGAAGACGTTCGGGAAAATGTAATCTTTTATAAAGCTTGAAAACGATGAAATGAATTGGGTAATGATTACACATTACCTTTCATCACTTCTTTCATAAAAAGTGAAACGCACCTGCCAAAAAACAAAAAAAAAAAAAAATGAAAAAATGGGTCTTCTGTCCTCCATCGTATATAGGTATATATGATTCGTACATTTTTCTTTTTTTTGTCAATTCATATATGAGTTCGTAGTATTAATAAGCATCAATCCCACCCTTGTAACATAAGTGTACAAAATAGTAACGATAAGAAATGCATCGATCGAAAGAAAAACAATATTACGTATCTCCGAAATAAAACTAGATTTTTTAAAAAATCAATTCAACATCGGTTTAAGATTTAAAATATTGAAAAATTTATCGGAGATATTGACTGTTCATCATCACGATAATATGAGACCACGTCTCAGTACGCGCGTATACATCAATTTTTTACCATCGAAAAAACACTATGGAATTGAGCGTTTTTTATTGCACAATGCATAATTCTATAGATATCTTTTTACTTCTTCATGTAATAAGATCTTGTCATGAAATGACTATAATAGTTTCATATATTGACGCAGCTCCTTTTTTAAAGCAGTTACAAATTATAGCTTCAAGCGTTTTTATTTATTTTGTTGAATTAAGATGATTTCTTTTTTTATCTTTCTTTCATAATTTAAATAATACATTTCTTGACACTTTATTATTTTCTTCGATATATTCTGTTTGTTTTTTTATTATATATTTTTTTCTATTAAATTCATATAAAACTTTTTATTATTATTTATTTTTATAAATCTTTAGTTATCGTCTTTTTGTAGCGATGTAAATAATATTCGAAAAAATTTATTCTTTAAATTAACAACGAGTTTCTCTTTCGTCAATAAATATACATTAGGTATTTGGAGCCTAATGGATAATAAATATTTTGAATCAGGAATGAAGTATTTAACGTAAGACAGTATTGCCTTTGCTATTAGATTATTGGCTTTCATATTTACAGAGGTCTGATATATATAAAATATTTATCGTGTTCGAATGTACGAAATATCGCTCGAAGTATTAAATTTAGCGAGGAAGTCGAGAGATGTTGTTATATTATTACAGAGAAGGATGTGCAATGAAACGATATATTGCGTTTGAAATATATAAGTAAAATTTTTTTAAAAAATGTTGCTTCATTTTGTTTAGATTCCAAATGTTTTTTTCTCTATTGTACGAGTGCAGTGTGCGAATTTTAATTATGTCAGACCTTTTTACGTATATTGGAGAAATAATGCCATGGCCTATCTTAGTATTTAAACGTGAAAAGGGAATTGTGTGTGTAAATGAAATTTAATGTTATATGTGAATGCAAGTATCAAACAGTGGATTATTTTTCGTGCTTATACGGATTCGAACGTTGCAATCTGTCGTGCATAATATTCGTCTTATATCTTTTACGTACTCAATACGTACAGTAAATTATAAGATTATCAATGAGGAGATTATGACATGAATGGCTTGTTTAATTATTTTCCGTTGATATACGGATATAATAATAAGTATTCGTTTGCAGTTTTAACTTTCTCATCGAAAGAATTTATTCACGGATCGTAAAATCCATACATAAAGTATATTCGCAACGTAACACAATGATAAATATTTCTTTATTGTTAATGACGTTGATTGTAATGAATACGGAAATATGTTGAGGAAATAGGAGACGAAAAAGCAGTTTATTAATTACTTTAGATGTTTTTTTTTTTTTTTTTTTTTTTTTTTTTTTTTTTTTTTTTTTTTTTTTTTTTTTTTTTTTTTTTTTTTTAATAAGGAACTATGTTTCATTTTTTATTTTTACGATATAATAGCAATATCTTTGTAAGTTACAATATCTTTGTTTTTCTTATCGAGACTCGATTATCATATTTTAGTGTACGCACAAAGTGCTTTACTTATACGTAGGAACGGTGTGAAACTGAATAATAATACGTATTATGGTATGTACGCACAAGATGTGCACAAATATCTTGGCGCCACCGATTAATTCTAACAGTGAAACATATTTGCCTTGAGATAAAAATAATTTGTATTGTAAACGATGAAGGGGATAACGAAGGAATCTGGCTAGTTGCCATACGTAGAAAATCCACTTCGATATTCTTTAACGATAAAAAAAAAAAGTGATTATTGTATTTTATGACCAGTTGAACGTCGGACAGATTTAGATTTGATAATATTCTTCGTTAAAAAAAAAAAGTAAAGAAAAAAAGGAAAACTGCATAGATATCATTCGTCGAAGTGCAACGAAGTATTAAAAAAAGAAAAAAAAAAATGAAAAAAAAAAAAAAAAAGAACCGAAAACAATGACTATTTTGCTCTATTGATACTTTCGTTTGCCAATGAGAGGTTCATAAATTAAGAATGTTATTTTAGCTAATCTATTCTCTTAGATTTGGAGTATGCTCAATGCGTAGTTTAAAATTGCACTGCACGAACAAACAATTGTACAAATTTTACCGAAAACGTTTTTACGACATTACAAACTTATGATTCCGTTACAGTTTCAGTAGAAGAGATATTCGCGAATCGTATATATCGTTCTGCATAAAATTTGCAAATTGTACGCCGTACAGCGTGCATTACTATTATTGTCCATCCACGAGATTCAGCGAATGTGTGGGCAACCGAATTGATTTCTGCATCGCGCGTGGATGTATTGTTCGCGTGATATAATACGGGTTACATGTACACATTTCTCACGCAAGTGTGAAACAAATCGCGCTGCTTCATTTAAAGCCCGTTTCATTCGATAGTAGAATGTGAACCTCGCGAATAAACGTGGACCATCCGTTTCAGCCGATCAATTGGAAATTTCTACGTTGTAATAATGATATTACAAGAAAGAACGTTTTGCGTAGATCCAATTAAAATTTAATCGAACGATGGCCCCCCCTCCCCTCAAGTGGCCTCGGATGGATGTAAAGTCATTGTTTCGTTCCGTTGTGGACTTGTTTTTTTTTTTTCTTTTTTTCTTTTTTTTTTTTTTTTTTGAACGAATGAATTATATTATTACGCGTTAAGGATTAAGAAATGATTATAACAACTATTATATCGGGGATAATAAGGAAACGAAAGAGAGAATTGTATAATACTGTGGGGATAATATTGTGAACAAATTTTTAGACACTCAGGATTTAGCGTTCCTCGCATGTTGTAATATGTAATCTGTAAACAAAAGCGCTACGTTTTTTATCGCCGTCCATGAGAGAGATTTGCGGGAAAATAAAGGGAAATAGAGGCTCATCTGTGGTCACATATGCAATATGTACGACACAAATGCAGAGACGATAAAGCACAATATTAAATCGAACTTCAACGTAGTAGCGACGAAAATTATACGAGCTATATCGCATCGTATCGACGTTGAAGAAGAGAAAGCTCGCAAAGCTCGTCGCGTTATTGCGACAAACTTTTAGAACGTTTAAAAAAGGGAGACAAGAGGAAGATTATCTAAATGAAATAGTCAATACGTTGAATCATTGTGATACCGAGTGGAGAAGATGCAAAGTAGTGAATGCTGTGGTTATGCGAGTCATCGAAGTCAGTTGGATTTAATAAAATACGTCTTTCTTTCATCTGCCAATCTAGGAGGCGAGGATTTTGAATATTTGAACGAATCGATCGAAATAAGATACGATAGACGAGAGTTCAATTACAAGGAGAAACGACCAACGTGATTCATAAACACAGTCGCGATGAAAATAGAAAATTTGAGCAACTCTCTGACTTCGTTCTCGTTTTCTCCCAGTATTGACTAGTTATCTATTACACATTCGAATACCGCACATCAATATAGCTATTATCGTTAATTTTTTTAATAGAAAGAACAAAAAAAAAAAAGAAATCATATAATGACGCACAGAAAACAATGAACTACGCATAATAAGAGAGTTAATAAGTTTAAGATGGAGTACGATCGTTTCCACCGTTCTTGTTCTAGATAGTGATGAAAAAAATATATATACATATATATGTATATATGTATAATATATATATATATAAATACATGTATATATATTTTGAAAATAAAGAACAAAATGAAGAACGAAAATTCCTCCCCAATGATAGTTATATACGAGAGATGCTGACATATATACATTGTATATGTAAAAAAAACAAATATGTATGTATGCTACATACGCGTGCATGTGTTATACGTATATATATATATATATATATATATATATAAGATGATAATCCATTTCTCTCTATGCGTATACGCGATGTGGGCGTATGTATATTTTTTTTGTTGGACGTATGCGCGTGAATGTGTGTGTATAAAATGTGCGTGTCGCTACTTGTGCAGGTCACTGTATGGAGAACACAATTGATAATAAATTATGGACACATATTTACAAAAAAAAAAAAAAAAAAAAAAAAAAAAAAAGGAAAAAAAAAAGAGAAAAAAATAAAAAAGAATCGTCTGATCTCAATTTTCAATCAATTTTACGACCTGAAATCGAACAGGAGTGTATATCGAGCATCATATACAGCTTGGGATTATTATTAGAAGACCGATGAGAGGAAAAAAAAAACGTTTAATTATGCGAACGAACACGACAGAATAGAAATATTGGCTGAGTTATTCCAAGTTGAATTTCGTTCGATTTAATAGAAATTAATATTGTCGAATTATTCTCATCCAATAATATAATCAGTATAAGAGATTTCTGGATTTGCTTTTGTAACGACATCGTCTCTCGTCGAACGCTTTCAAAAATACTCATACCGCCGTTGAATTGCCTCAATTATCGCCGATTAAATCCGTTTCAATTCTCACCCCCTGGATCTCGGGCACCGTTAACTTTTATGCTTCGATATGATAATATTCCGAGTGCGTATAGTTATTCCGTTAAATATAGCAACGTGCTTGCGCCCGCATTGCGCAACCATGAGATCATAGAGAGTTAATTTATAATCCTTTCGAGTTTTCCTTTTGATATCGCGGTCGCATTCATAATTGACGCTTTAATTTCGTACACGCAATTTCTACGTTACGTGTCATAAACTCGAAATCGTATCACGAATCGAGTCGAGACTTATATGATACATGGCACGTTAAATTATAAATTTTATAAACGGTCGAATCGTTGCAATCGCATTCGATCGCATACGTACGATCGATTCGTCACGTTCATCGAATGTGTTGTGAAAACACATTTTAAAATTGTCTTACTCTTTTTCAGAAAAGAATTTCTAATGAAAAATTATACGATTGTGAGAAGCGTAGGGGATCTCCTCGAAGAAACTCGCTCGATTCGAGGTACAAACTCGAGTGCAACGAGTTAAGGATAATATCGTGGTGTACTTGGTGTAATTGGAAGCACGGTACTCTAGGTACCCTGTCTCGTTTCATTGGCCGCGCACGGCAAATTACATTGTAGAGCGTACGTATTACGTCTGTTCGAATTTACGGGCTGCTCATTACAAGACGTTCCCCCTCCCTTCCCCTCCTCCCACACGCACAGATCAAAGGATGCGTCCCCGTACGCCTCTCCGTTGAGAGAGGCGGAAAAAAAAGCATTTGACCGTCAAATGTGCAATGCCTTCGACCGGGGGGGATATGCAATTGATTAATAAACGCCTCGGTTAAACAAAAGCACCCCGCTGGGCGTTTCGAGGCTTAGGTTGTTAGGTTGTTGGCTCGGTTGGGTCGCGTGCGAGTGAAACCACGGCTCGACGCCATTGTCGCGGGGGCAGGGACTCACGGCTCGATAGTTTCACCGAGATAAAATCGGAACGATCGTTCCTTTGTGGCCGCCCTTTTTGGTTTGCTCGAATCTCTACTTACTATCCCGGTATATGACGAGGAAACTTGGTGTCCGGGGAAGGGGGAGGGAGGGTTGAACGTTCCAGCCGAGTTGTTCCTCGTTCTTCCTCGCGCCGCTACAACCTGTGCCTCTATCTCGTTCTTGGATCTATCTTATCAGAGGCTGGGGATCTGGAGATTCTTAAGCGCGGAAGGCGTCGAGCTGTTCTCGAGATCGAATCTCTTCTCCATTTCTAGACGAGGCGGTATCGAGTATCGATCGTCGAGTAAAACTAGCGACAGATACGTTTAGGATATCGTTGAATTACCCTATGTCAACCGTTCGAGGGCCATCCTTCCTCCGCTTTATATATCTCGTATTCTAGAGCGTGTCCCCGCAACCGCAACATTATTTGGTAAAAAAACGTATCGTATCGTGAAGTATACTTTATTCGGGCAGTAAGTTTAAAGACGTTGAAAGACGTTTTTGCTCTCACGGCCGAGATTTCGTTTATCCTTGGCTCAAATATTTGAACGCGATCTCATTGTTTTATCGTCGCTCCTCACGTCGTAAGTTTGGAAGCGAGGTGCGTTTTTATTTACACGAGGAGATGAAAGTTAACGCTGAATGGAAGTATCGGCTGTGCGACTTTGCGTTGCATCACCGCCGACGAATCTCATTCCTCTTTTCACGCGAACGGTACTTCTCCGATAATGCGTTATCAATGGGAACTTTCAGAGCTGGTAATCACGCACCGTCATTTACTTTTCCCTCTTCGATCATATTGCTCTCCGCAATATAATTATATCGTGTCCCTTATCCATCCGATAAGACAACGAATGCATTTTTCGCCATGATTCTTATCGAATTCCTAGAATTCGAGAAGACGATAAAACGTTTCCGCGATTAGGAACGAAGCGTGTCCCATCCGTCGCGAAGCGAAACGGACGAAACAGAACCGATTCGATCCGTTCCGCGATATCTTTGTTGTAACCGATCAAGAAATAGGTATCCGGTGGCACGATTCCTGTGCGTAGCTTGGAGCAGAGTAAAAAAAGAATCGGAGCAAGGAGGAGTCGTGCGCGAAACGAGCGAGTCGGATCGTTTGTTTACTCGTGGAACGCGGCGCGTTGCCGAAGAAATACGACAGGTCTCGAGGCGGAGAGGAGGGTAGAAAAAGGGTAGGTGAAAAACAAAGGAAAAAAGAGAAAGAGGAGGAGGAAGAAGAAGAAGAAGAAGAAAGAAAAGGAAGGAGAGGAGAGGAAAGAAGTCCAAGGCCCCCATCGAATGGTTGAATTGGCACGGTTGAAGCGTAGGTATAGCTGGTTCGACGGAGCCGCTCGCGTACGAGCCGAAGTGCGCGCGCAGCCACGCTAGGATCAGTCGTACGGTAGTCGTGAGAGGGCAGGCGCCCCCTCCGCATCTCTCCTCGTCTGGTCTGGGCCGCAGAGCGGCGCACCGTGTGTCGAGCCGAGCCGAGCCGAGCCGAGTCGGTCAATACTCCGGGCAACGCGGTGGTGAGAGCACACGACCACGGTCGCCCCGTACTCGTGCACGCCGTCACTCGGAAGCGGCGACTCTCTCTCTCTCTCCTCTCTCCTCGCGCTATCGGGATTCGTGTCGTCTTTCCACCGATAATCGAACGCGTAATCTTGGTGGCGAGCGTGGATCCGGAAGGGACGCCAGCCGGAGGACCGGCCGCCGATCTATTCTCGCCGTGATCTACCTCCTCGCCAAACGGACGCTGATGATACGTACACGCGCGCACACACAGGCGTAACGCAGGCACGCAGAGAGGAGGACACGCGTGGCAGCCGAACGCATCCCATCGCATCTCGTCCCATCCTTGTTTCCCAACGTGTATACGCGGTGCCCAGTTGGCAGCGTTCTTCTTCTAGCCGAGAAACGCAGCAACGATGCCACGAGCCTGCTTCGTCCAGTACGGTTCGTAAGGAAGGACGCTGGTGACACGGGTCCCGGGTGTTCCGTGATCAACTTTCCCGCTTGTGAAATTATCGCGGACAGTGATACGTTCTGTGCGACGAATCGCGAAATAATCGAGGGCGAATCTCCACGTATCGGCCGACCAACGACACTCAACTATGAATCCTGGAGCGTGATGGACAAGCTCGCGTACACGACCACGACCAACTTGCGGCTACGCCTCGCCGGCATGCTCATGGATATGTGGATATTCTTCCTGTTCGTCGCCATTGCCGGTGAGTGCGAAACAATCCTCTTTCTTGTCTCTTGTTACGCTCGCGTCACGTTACGTCTCGACTCGATTCGACGCGATTTTCAGATACTTCGGATCGTGTTGGAGATCCTCGACCCCCTTGCGTGTGCGTGTGCGTGTGTTCCCGATCGTGTATCGATTCGACGAGTGGCTCGCAGCGTGACTTGGTCCGCGTGCTGTCACTCGACGTGTCAATACGCATTACGTATGCACAACAGGCACGTGCGGCACGCTGAGTAAGTGCGTCGTATCTGTGCCATGGTTGAGACTCGATTCATTCAAGAGATCGGAGAGAGGGAGAATCGATGCCACTTTCGTTCTTAAACCGGTGAGCCACGGATATTCCGTTTTTGGACCGATTCAAGGCTTCGATTCGAGCCGAGTCGGGAGAGGCAGAAGAGGCACGCCGTAAAAAAATATCTGTATATAAGAAAATATATATTTTATGTACGTTAGGGAGAAGAAGAACCGGTCTTACGCGTCTTTCTACAATTTAACCTATACAATTTCTCCTTTGTGTATATCTCTGTGTTTATATACTGCGATTATACACGTCAGAAGCGTGTTTTTGTTTTTGTTACTATCCGCGACCTCGTGGGGAGCGTAAGCGCTTCGCCCGTAACATTGTCGAAGCGTCGATAGAACGAGCCAGATGTTTGAAATTCTTACCGATGGACGAGGGGATTCGGGGAACTCGCTCCGTTCTCTCTATCTTCGTCCTCTTTTCTTCGTCCTTTTCTTTTCTTTTCCTTTTCTTCCCTCCAGATCCATCAGTCTCTTCGCTGCGTACTACCTTTCGTTTCGACACGTTCAGGGGAATCCTCTTTTTCCACGTCTCTCTCTCTCTCTCTCTCTCTCTCTCTCTCTCTCTCTTCTTTCCTCTCCTATCTCGACACGATTAGTTCGTCCTTCTCTACTTTGACTCTTTCTTTCTCGCAGCCGGTTTTACTCCGTAATCCGCCCTTCGCCCCCTTCTCGTCGACTCCTTCCCAGAGTCCGTATCTCTAGTCTTCTCGTAGTCTTCCATAGGTTCCACCCCGATATATGTATATATGTACCCTCTTTTATTTCCACGGCAGGGCACCTCGATGCAACCGTGCGTGAGGAACGGCGGAAACCGGGGGGATAACTATCGGCGACTGTGCTCGTCGAATCTCATTTACGATCGTGACGGTCCGAGGAGAGGATCGTAAAACCTCTCCTCACGTACTCGATACCCACTTTACCTTGGAGCGTCGCGCCGGTTCGTGTAATTGCTTCGTGCCATCGAAATTCTATCGCGATCCTCGATTTCGAAAACGTCTTCTCGATCGAATCGTCTCCTCGTCTCGCTGCCGCTTTCTCTCGCTTCTCTCTCTCTCTCTCTCTCTCTCTGTATCCGTAAATGGAAGGGACCCAACTTTTCTGTGTTTGCGCGAAGCCAGGCGTCGGCTAAAAGCTCTCTCTTTGATAGCACCTGCGTCTGATTTAGAGAATTTCACGAGGGGGGGGAAAAAAAAAAAAAATCTGTCTGGAATGAAAACTCGGTTCGGGCAACAGCTTCGTCGAGTGGAGATTTGCTTTATATACGGGGGGAGGGTATATGTTTCGCGATAGCTGGGGCAGAAAAAAATACGATATTTTGGACGTATGCCGCGGATCTTTTCAATGGACGAAAAGTACACATCTCGTATCATCATTTTCGTCGTTTCCTGTTTTCCAGGAACGAATTAAAAGAGAAATATTCGAGTCGAAAATTAAGTTTTTTAAAAATTGCAGCATTCGGCTCGCGTTCGTTGCACGTAGGTAAACAGGAGTTTTCCCTTTTTCGAGAGATCGAATCGATCGAGGCTCGCAGAATCATCGAGCGGCGATCTCGAATACGCGTTTCCCTCCCCCCTCTCCTCTTCATTGGGACGATGTCGAACTCGTTAAAGTGTCGTTCAAGCTCATTTTCAACGCTTGAAAACAAGCTCGACGCGGAGCGTTGAGCTAAATGGTTAATTTCGCTTGCTCTTCCTCCCGATAGTTACGCGAGAGTCGGAAATATCTCGATTCTTTTCAATGGTTTCTCTCGTTACATGAATCACGCTCCACAGATAAGCTTCTGTTTCGTCTTGTTTCATAGATATTAGTTTTCATTCATCGAACGTTCACGGGCTCGTAACGAATCAATTACATGGTTGCATCGGACTCGATGCCGTATTTCTGCCTCTTGCTCGAGTCTCAAGATCGTATCGTGCATTATTCATCGTTCAACTACTAGTATTTGATGCATTTTATTCGCGTTTATTATTTCACGTTCGCCCTGTCCTCGCACACGCGCCCACACGGTATTCATCTTCCTCGTCGTATCCGTTTCATTCATTTCGATTCGAAAACTTATAACAACAATATAACACCACGCAATTTGTTTCGTTTTGTTATTCTTCGGAAACGAAGAATAATTCCATTCTGATTGAACAACCATCCCGAATTGGTTAACCTTTCGAATCTTCTTCTTTTCTCCTCTTCTCTCTCGCTTATTTTCGAAAAAAAATGCCCATTCATATCTTCGAAACGCCTCCGCTCGGTCCACTTTTCAGGTCCAATTCTTTCCGTTTCATTATCCGTACGAGCAATACTTCATACTTGACTCGCTCACGATCCAGGAATTCTCATTACCTTTTCGTGGCACGAGCACATTCATCAGGTGTCAAATAAAATTCGCGCGAGCCTTCCTTACTTAAACTTTAACAAAGATCTACTCCTGCTTGTACAGGTGGTACGCGACGCTATCCCCGGTTCAGATGAATTAAGGAACGTCCTGCTCGTAGCCGGGACACGGCGATAATCCCTTATCTTTGTTTTAACCCATTTTAACCTTTCTACCACCTCGCCCAATCGTCTTCGACTTTCGCTTCTGAAACTGAAGTTCGCGATATATTCATCCGCCGTTCCGCGTTACTTCAACCTCTCCCAATAGTTTGCCTTAATTTAGCTTTTTTAAACTTCGAGCCGCCCCAAAAAATAATTAGGGGATTCGAAAAAAATATACTCCTCTCCCCATCCTCTTTTTTGCGACATGGATGTGGATCCAATGTTTGTCCTCCTTTCTTTCAAATTTCCCTTTTTCGTTCGTCATTTCGATCATCGAGAATCGGTCTAAAAAAAGGGGAAGGGCTCGATCGACCGTTGCGCGTTCCTCTTAAAATTTCGCGATAGGTCGTCCCAGCGAGCGAAGTCGAATTTACGGGGTCTCTGGTGGCAGCTACATCGACCGGTTGTAACGAACTAGAATGAACGAAGGGGGGAAAAAAAAGGTGGGTCGGTAGGTAGGTAGAGATATATGTATAGATCGGTATAGGCAAGGCAAGCCAAGGGTTCCTGGCAAACTACGCGGAAACCCTGTTGAGAGACCGCGCCTCTCATCTGGAACTCCGTATCCATTGCGACGCAATGGAGAAGCAGGTGTTTCACGCGCGTTACCCTCTCGTTTTTTTAATTTTCTTCCATCCTTAATCCCACCGCAACTTTTCAACAACTGTTTCGAAACTTAACGAAACGGCTTAAAAATTTTCCCTCCTCTACACGGGATACTAATTTTCCTCCACCTTTTCTTTTATCCACAGAGTTATAAAGAAGAAATAAAACGCTCGTTTTCATATCGAGGAGGAAGGAAGGAGGAATCTCGCGCGTATTGGAGCGAGGCGTTGCTCCACGCTTCGAAACCCCTTTGAATCGGCGGCGGTTTGCTCGCTCGGGGGACGCTCGGTGAAATGGAGGATACCTGGCGGACGTGGGAGGAAGAAAGAGTCGAAAGTCAAATATAATAGCTGAAGGCTCTCCTCTGCCTTTTCCGCTTTATTTGAAATCGATCTCTCGGCCACGAGATATCCGTATCCGATTCGACGAGCGCGAATCCTCGTATCGTAGTAGTATCGAATGGCGGAACGCTTTTTCCCTGGTGCTTGTCGTGTATAAACGTTCCCGTTCCCGTTCCCGTTCCCGTGGATTTCACACGGTCATCGCGGACAAGCGGACATTCACAAAGCTGCCCCCTCCCTCCCCCCTTATCGACCATCTAAAACACGTTTGATCTCGTATCCGCGCCTCCCCTAATCGAATTAACTTCTGTATCGTGCCCGCCCGCCTCCTGTTTACCTTATCGATTTCCATTTTCTCGTATCGCGTGCTAGAAAGCTCCTTCCTATATCCGAACGGAATATAAACGGAATCACTGGCACGCGATCGCTTTTCGTGAAACTTGATGGCAGTCGCGCGATGATTAATGCGCTGGAGGGAGGGAGGGAGGGAGGGGGAGAGGATTTAGCGGAATTTCGATTCGTCTAGAGCCCGTTATTCGTCGTTGTCGTCGGGTTATTAAAAAATCACCGCGAATCGGCGCGAAATTGTTCTCGATGGGCTATTCGATTGTCGATATCCGTGCATATAGAGGGAAGGGAGGAGAAAAATGTCGCTTTTCACCCCCCTCGATCTCTTCCTCTCTTTCTCTCGTCGTTTCGGGATTTATTTATTTATTTATTTATTTTTTTCCAGGCAAAGCAGTGCCGATCTTTCGAGACGTGAATAGAAAACTCGGTCGACGGTCGCGGTTCTCCCAGAATTTAGAAAGACGAAAGAATGCATATTCCCGTGTCTGCGATGCGACGGCTGTGAAATTGCACCGACGCTACTTTCGTCCGCATAGAAGAGCACGTACTTCCTCCTCGCGAAATTCTTGTGCGGGGGTATGGCGCAGTTTCGCCACCCGCAACCTTCTCGAGCACCCATCCACCCTCCTAGAGACCTCTAAGCCCTGCAACCCACTCGTACCACCCTCCCCTCTCCCTTCTCTCTCTCTCTTTCATTCCATATACCGTAACCGAAACGGGGTAGTTCGCACGGTGATAACACAACGAACCGCTTCATTACGCTCGCTTACGCGAGAATCAGTTTAATTTCGGTAAATGCAATTCGGGTCGAGTCGATCAAACACTCGTCTAACAAACAGGTTTTTTTTTT